TCCAACTTCAGACTGGTTAGTGCCCAATCTTTATATACATGAACAAGCAAGTTTTCACGATCTTCAAGATCATTTTGCTTATCTTACAGATACCATTTCCTTCTTTTTATTTCTAACCCCGCAAAGACCATCTTATTAAAACATCGCTTCTCCTTTCTCTAAATGACTGACGTTAGTTAAGGACTATAAGTCCTTGATACACATACATGCACAACTTCTTCACCTGACACAGACCATCTTTCACATACACAGACCATCTTTCACGTGCTGTAACTTTTTCCCACATAACTATACCAGACTGACCAAGGACATTAGATAAAGGAAGTATAGACACTACTCAAATCTGATAGGCAAACAAGCTATACCAGTACAAAAGCAAGGATGTAAGAGAGGAAAAGACAGCATCTGGCAACATTACAAAATCATCAGTAAAATTTCACTTAAAGATACAGCAGTAAAGATGTTCAGTAATTTTCCATGATAGAAAAAGTTTTGAAAGGATAAAATATATATTTTTAAATATCATGATTGTAAACAAGAAAATTACAGGTCATTGCTATTACCCCCACAAAATGGCCAGAAACATGAAAAAGAAACAGTGAAAATCCCCACCTCCGCCCAAAAACAACAACAAAATGACATTTATATAACACCTTTCTCATCGAGAGGACGTCCCAAGGCACTGAGGGTCGGGATGGGGGAAAGGGGAGGGCAGGGGAGGAAGCAGGGAGATGGAAAGCATGATCGAAGAGGAGGGTCTTGAGGTGGGTCTTGAAGATGGCGAGCGAGGGGGCGAGATGGAGAGACTGCAGGATGGAGTTCCAGAGGGTGGGTGCAGAGTGGCGGAAGGCCCGCCCACCAATACTGGGGTGAGCAAGGTGGGGTACATGAAGCAGGTCAGAGCCCGATGAGCGGAGGGAGTGAACAGGAAGGTAGGGGGTTAGGAGGTCGGAGAGGTAGGGGAGAGCAAGACCATGGAGGGCTTTGAAGGTGAGGACAAGGATCTTGAACTGTATCCTCTGTGTGATGGGAAGCCAGTGGAGTTGGGCAAGGATGGAGGTGATAAGAGTCACGGTGCTGGAGAAGAGATGAGGATTGAGTGGTCAACGATGTCGAAAGCAGCAGAAAGTTCAAGGGGACAAGGAAGGCAGAGGAAGCCCTGGTCTCAGATGGACAGAATGTCATTTGTCACTTTGACCAGGGCTGTTTCTGTGCTGTGGGCGGCACGGAAGCCCAATTGGAGGGGTTTGAGAAGGGAATGGCGGGAGAGGAAGGAGCGAAGCTGAGAAGCAACAGAACTTTGGAGAGGAAGGGGAGGTTGGAGATGGGGCGATAGTTACAGAGTAGAGAAGGGTCCAGGGAGGGATTTTTAAGGATTGGAATGATGACAGCCATTTTTAAAGGGGTGGGAACAGTACCAGAGGACAGGGAGAGGTTAACGATGTCAGTGAGTAGAGGGGCAAGGAGGTGGAGCTGGGAGGTGAGGAGTTTGATTAGTAATTCTAATTGCAAAATACAATTAGTGAAATGATATACACCTAGATTTTTTCAACTGTTTTGAAATTGATAGGAATACGGATACAGCAAAAACTCTGTTTTCAAGTTTATCTTGGCTACCTATCTGTAATTCCTTCCAATTTGTATCTTTTAGTATGCAATCGCTGTATTTTATCAGTAAGGGTTATAAACTCATAACCCTTAATTCCTTCCCTTAGGATGTAACAAAATGTTTATCTGGTTCTGTGAAATTTTGAACTTTAACAAAAAAAATTAAGAGTGATCGCGCCAGCCTCAAATATTCTCTTTACTCTGGAGACAATTGGTTAGCCTTTCAAAGATAATCTGGTCACAAATAGCATGACAATACTGTGTCAAGTTGACGGTAAAATCCTGTGAAGCATTTTGACAATGTGATAAGGCACTATGTCAAATGTAAGAATCTATTCAGAATTCTTTATTGGATGAAGTTATGGATTAAATAGTTGCATTGGCTAACTTGTAATACTCCAGCCTCTTACGTGATTGTGCATCCATGAATAAAATGGTTCACAGAAAACAAGTCACTTTGACCAGCCAGCAGACAAATGAGAAATATTTTTTCCTGTAAAGTATGGTTTGGGGACGCAATCATTTCAAACTATCTAAACATATTTAAGTATATCACTGAATTAGAATCAATTTATGGAGGAACAATGGGGTTCTGTAGCTCAGTGGTTAGAGCACTGAGATGAGCATGAACTGAATCTATACCTGTGCATCACTGGATCCCTCTGCTCCACAACATGATTAAGTGATTAAGAGCTACGAGATACCTGGGTTCAATTCCAGGCAGAGGGCGAAACCTTGGGCAAGTTTCCTTACTCCACACAGAGCCTAATAATAATCCCTCCAAAAAAAACAATAATAAATTGGTTATTTTCAATCCACGACTGTCTGTGGGACATTACTGTGCGCAATTGGCTCCCGTGTTTCACCCACAAATATACAGTCAGTTCACTTTTCAGTCTATTCTGTGAAATGTTTTGAGACATCTAGAAGATGCGAAAAGCACTATATCAAATGCAAGGATTATTATTATTATAAGATAAAGAAACGGGCAGAAAAGTTCAAATTTGACAACCATCACTCCTTAAGGTTTATAAAGCAGCATAGTCAAGATGTAGCTGAAAAAATAATATATTATTATTATAAGCTGAGGATAGAAATCTTGCTATTTAATAGTGGTCTCAGAGAACATGGTGACAAGAGATTAAAAAAACAGTATTAAGTAGTGATTTTTAAAAATCAACAAACAATTACTTGGTTATTGATACAAGGAGAAGCATTGTCAGCAGACACAGTATTTACAAACATTTATAAATCAGCTAATAGCTTTCATAATACAAAAATAATTTACGAATAAAATCTGTAGGATTATGATGTAAGTTTTGTATACATGAACTGATGAAACATCTGGTTTGATAAAATAACTCTATAAAAGGAATCAAAGCTATTTAGAAATAAGCCATTGAAATATAGATGTATTTACATTTCCTGGGCAATAATAAGAATTATAGTAATAATCACTGCTTTTGATAAACAATAGTGCCTTTGTGTTAGGAGGTCTCAAAGCACCCCACAGGATTTATGATAAAGTGTCGTGACTGTATATTTTATATGTGAACTATTCAGTCTCTGCCTTTTTTGTACCTTTTGCTTGTTTACAGATCAGTACTGCAAATACACAATATAAATAGTTAACTAATAATGCCTCCAGTGAATTATTGTTTTGATGCATTTAATCTATACCTTAAACTTGTCCTCCTCACAACTGTTTGAAACTTACTAGTACAGTATTTCTTTAGATTTTAAAAATTGCTATATTGCAAAATAATTCCTATAGTGTACATGGAATATATTGTGTACATGGTTTCCTTTTTTATTTTGGTATTTCTTTACTTTTAACGATATGCAATACTTGTAGATTTGTTGCACATATATACTGATGTGTCTGTAATAAACTACAACACTGTCATTATGTTGTTTTGAAAGCATGGCTTTTGTTTTATTAAAATACAGAATTTCAGCATTCTCATGTCCTTTAAATGAGATTCGTGATTTTTGATTTTATACATTTTTGATTTATATCAATTTCTATGTTGAAATGAAATTACAGACGAACTGTGTGTTAATTGACACTAGTTATGACACTAGTTTAGTAAACATTTTTCTTGCTTATTTTATAAATATAGAACAAAAAAAGGAAAAGGAGAAAAATTAGGAATATTGAAAATGTGAACTAAAACTAGAAATAGTGGAGTCCTGTAGCTCAGTGGTTAGAGCCTCGCTTTCAAGTGAGAGACCAGAGTTCAATTCCAGGCAGAGGGTGAAACCTTGGGCAAGTTTCCTTACTCCACACAGAGCTTAATAATAATCCCTCCAAAAAAAACCCCCAAAACAATAATAAATTGGTCATTTTCAATCTAAGACTGTTTGTGGGACATTGCTGTGCACAATTGGCTGCCGCGTTCGCCCACAAATATACAGTCAATTCACTTTACAGTGTGTTCTGTGAAGCGCTTTGGGACGTCCTCCCGACGTGAAAAGCGCTATATCAAATGCAAGGATTATTATTATTATTATTAAATACTGACTATTCAGTTTTAGTGTGTCAGCTTGGCTCAGTGGTAGCACTCCCACCTTCTGAGTCAGAAGGTTGTGGGCTCAAATCCCACATTTGGGGACTTGAACTCACACCGTCTCAGCTGCGAGAGGGACGTGTTGCATTGTCGGGAGGTGCGGTCCCTTCAGATGAGACGTTAAACCACTCGGTCGCTGGATGGCGCTGCTGCTACTTACGTGACCCGCGCTCCGGGGAGCACATTCGGCAGGTTGGGCGAGTTCACGCCCGATTGGGCGATTTTTGTTGTCTTGCGCGCGAGAAAGCAACTCTGGGGCCGGTTGGTGCCCGGTTTTTCGGGGGGGGGGGGGGGGTTTTGTTTAAAAAAAAATTAAAACTGTAAAATATTTTCTTTCCCTTTTGAAGACCTTTTTTTTTTCCCCCCTTACGGTGTTGAAAAGCGCCCACCTAAATCGGTCACCCTCTATGGTGTGGGCGACTTGTAGCGTTGGGCTTCTTTCGGGCTGGTATCCGATGGATTTGGGGCTACTAATGTCGGCCCCGCCTCCCCGGGGCTGTCAGTACCTGATTCGGGCGGAGCCGGAGCGGATGAAGGAAAAACGAACCACGCCGCCGCCGCCGCCGGTCCTCTGACACTTCGCTCTCTCTCTCTCTCTCTCGCTCTTTCTCTCGATCACCGTCGCTCGGGAACTTCGCCCGATTCGGGCTCCAGAAATGACAAGGGCGTCGGGGGCGTCTTTACTCGAATACTTACCGAAGAACGAACAATTTTAAAACAGCGAGGAGGTGGGGTCGCTTCTCCCCTCCCGCCCCACCCCCTCCCTCCCCTCTCCTCCCCTCCCCTCTCCTCCCCCTCGCACAGCACCGCGCGAGGCGGCGGCGGCGGCGGCGGTTACGATTTGAAAGATGTCTGTGACGAGCGGCAGTTGGGTCTCGGGCGACCGTTAACTCTCCCGCGAGGCGCAGAGCGAGCGGTGGCTCGCGCGCGCGTCGCAGCGCGGAGAGCAGCGCCGCCCGTTGCTGTATCGGAGGAGCAGGTTGAGCCTCCTTTCCCTTCCCCTTCCCTTCCCTTCCTGCCCTTTACCCCTTTCACTCCCTGTCCGGCTCCTTTGTGTATGTTTTTCTACCTGACCCGGATCCGCACCGTTTCTTCCCCCCCCCCCCCCCACCGCTCTCCTCCATGGCCAGCAAGCCTGGCGTAACTCCCGGCGAGCCCCCTGCCGACACCCCGCCGCCGCCGCCGCCGCCGCCGCCCGACGAGCCCGCACTGCAGAGCCAGAGCTGCGGGCTGTGCGGCAAAATGGAGAACCTGCTGCTGTGCGGCCGCTGCAAGAGCTCTTTCTACTGCAGCAAAGAGCACCAGAAACAGCACTGGAAGAAGCACAAGCAGGTCTGCAAGGAGACGCCTCAGCAGCGGGACCGCCCGGCAGAGGACAAGGCGAGTGCGGCAACCGGGGGCGGGCATTCCCGGCCGCAGGCTCCGGAGGCCGTCAACGGACAGCGGACGTGCCAGACGCCCGGTCCCCCCAACCCCAGCGGGCAGAGGGTCAGGGGAGAGGTGGACAAGGGCGAGGAGCCAGCGGCAGGTCCGCTGCCCGACACCATGCTCAGCAGCCAGGTCGAGCCGGGCCCGCACGGCCAGAGCGGCAGCGGCTCCCAGAAGCTGGTGCTGGAGTACATCGTGCCCTGCATCAACAAGCACGGCATCTGCGTGGTGGACAACTTCCTCGGGGAGGAGAAGGGCGACAGCATCCTGCGGGAGGTGAAGGAGCTGCACCTGAGCGGCCGCTTCACGGACGGCCAGCTGGTGAACCAGAAGGGAGACTCGTCCAAGGACATCCGAGGGGATCAGATCACCTGGGTGGACGGCAAGGAGCCGGGCTGCGCGCAGATCGGACTTTTAATGAGCAATATGGATGATCTGATCAGACATTGCAACGGGAAACTCGGCACTTACAACATCAACGGGAGAACGAAAGTGAGTATCCCGACCTGGGTTCGTTCGTTCGTTGTTTCCCGCAACGTCGCATTTTCGAAACTTGGCACTTTAGCCATGTGTTACGCTAACCCTTTAAAAGCCGGGGCATGGTGCCCCGGTTTGCTGGCTTTTTTGCTTCGTCTTGACTTCTTTTTTTTTAAAAAAAACAATCTATTGCAACTGAATGCAGTTGCAATGGATAGATAGATTCTGAGAAAACTTCTCTTGCGTTTCACGCACCACAGCGATTCCTCTGGTTTCGCTGATGCGTTGTTTTTCTCCAGGTTTTCGGTGAAACGTCAGTCTGAAATGACTCACGCGTGTTTAACGCCGCCGTAAATATTCCCGCTTACGTCGATGTACGCGCGTACGTCTTGTGTATGTGCTTAGGTGTTGGGTTTCAATGGCTGAATTTTGTAATGTTGGTTGGTGCAGCCGTCCGCTAAAACCACGTTAGGGCAGTCTGGCTTCTCTTCGGTCGCTGCACACGTGTCGCAAAAGCATGTTAAGCTTTTTGAACATCGCGGCTTTAATGCGTTAAAATCGGCCTCAAACGATGCATCCGTTTCTCTAGCAGCAAGTTTTTTTTTTGAGGTTAAAAGTTAGTCGTCTCGCAAAGCTGTTCAGCATCGGATACTGAAAGCAGAATTTCCATGAATGGAATATGCAAAATTCTGAATGGATTTTTAACCTTATTCCTTGATTTCGGAGTACCAAGAACGTGCACCTTCTGGTTTTGTCCATTCAGATTCGTGTGGAATAAAAATAGATCTACTGCCATATTCTTGACGGTTGCTATTTTACAATAATAATAATAATCCTTGCATTTGATATAGTGTCTTACCACGTCTTCCAAATGTCTCAAAACGCTTCACAGAATATACCGTACTGTGAATTGACTGTGTATGGGAGGAATATTATTATATTTGGCCAGTCAAAATGCCCAGAAACCAACCAGATGGTCAAATAATGGTTTCAAAAATACATTAGTGTTGGTCATGCCCTTACTTTTTTTGGGGGAAAATAAATCTTCTGCATCACCAGGTTTTTATATGTACAGAGGTAGGATTGTTTTCATTTCTATTCTGTGCAATCTAAGCCCATTTCTCATAATATGTAATGTCCCACGGAGTTGATGGGTACAGTTTTCGTGCTTGGCATTATACAAATCGAGGGGATCTGCCCTTCCAACTGCTACCCCCTCACACTCCCGGCCCTACCCATCTCTCACTACACACCTTCAAACCTGTCTCCCCCTCCTCTCTCACCGCCATTATAACCCACATGAAACTCACCATCTGCTCCCTTGACCCCCATCTATTCCCCTCTCCTTACCTCCCAGCTCCATCTGCTTTCCCTTCTACTCACAGACATCATCAGCCTCTCCTGTCCACTGGCACCATTCCCACCCCGTTAAAATCAGCTGTTATCACCCCTATCCCTCATCTCCTCGTCTTCCTTGATTTGTCTGCTGCCCTTAATACTATTGACCACTCTATCCTCCTCCACTGCCGCTCCTCTCACCTCAACCTTCATGGTTTTGTCCTTGAGTGGTTCATATCTTATCTCTCACACCGTCTCCACTTTGTCTCCACAAAAAACTTCTCCTCCAGCCCCCTCCACTCTCGTGCAGCGTTCCTCAGGCCTCTACCCTTGGTCCTCTCCTCTTCAACATGTAAATGCTCCCTCTTGGTGACATCATCCGCAGACATCAGGTCAACTTCCACATGTATGCAGATAACACGCAACTCTATCTCTACCTCCACCCTCGACTCTGGGACCACTGTAATCCTGACAGAATGTCTGTCAGTCATCAAGTCCTGGATGAGAGCTAACTTTCCATAGTTGAACATCAACAAGACCGAGGCTCTCCTGATTGGCTCCCGTCAGCGCCTCCTCACCTCAGGCACTGACAGCATCACCATCTAAGGATGCACACTCCACCTCACTGAGCCAGTCCGGAAACTTGGCATCTTGTTTGACCCACAATTATCCTTTCTATCCCACATCCATGCTTTCCCCCATCTCTGCAACATCTCCTGGCTTTGCCACTGCCTCATCCCTCAGGTTGCCGAAACCCTCACCCACGCATTCATCGTATCTAGGCTCGACTACACCAACTCTCTGCTTGTCGGCTTTCCCAAGTCTTCCCTCCACGAGCTGCAGATCATTCAGAACACTGCAGGTCGTGTCTTCTCCCACACGAGGCTCCGTGACACGTCACCCCCACCCAGCTCCACTGGCTCAGCACCACCTTCAAGGCCCTCCGCGGACTTGCTTCTTCCTACCTCTATGACCTGCTAACCCCATATCAACCTGTCTGCCTGGCCCACTCCATCATCGGTGTTCCAAATCCCTGACTGTCCAGTACCTTGGGATATCCTCCCGAAGTGAAAGCCTCTATACAAATTTAATTTTATATTGTATTGTATATAAGTGTGTCAGCTTGATTTAGGAGTAGTACTCGCCTCTGAGTCAGAAGGTTGTGGGTTCAAATCCCGGTCAGGCCTTGAACTTGTGTAATCTAAAGTGACACTCCAATGCAGTGATGAGGGATAAGGGAGTGTTGCATTGTCGGAAGCGCTGTCTTTTGGATGAGACATTAAACCAAGTTCCCATCTGACTGTTCAGGTGGACGTTAAAGATCCCATGGCACAACAGTAAAGCTCTGATAAGTCTTTCTGAATCACATAATCACCTAAGTCGTGCCTTCACCGAATCCTATTCAATTTACTACCAAAACCACTTAGATTTCTTTGCACTACTCATGTTAATCACCTCGTATTGCTACTCTCTTACCATCCATTACTCCCCCATTTTCCAGCCACCTTGAATCGCGGGAAATTACATCCTGACCCGTCTCCTCATGTGCACTTACCGGCCGGCTGCGTTGAATCGCAGGAAACATAGTCTGTTTGATCCGTCGACACGTGCAGAAGAACTCCATTCCAAAACTTGACAGTAAGTTCGCACTTGGCAACGTGGCACGTGGATCAAGATGCATAGAAACGGGAAACATAGTCTTGACCCATCAACGCATGCGCACTCAATGGCTAAAGTGACGGTGCATTTACAGGCTGCATCAAATCACGCTTGCGCAGTGTAGATTATTGATCAAATCAGATTTATACAGTTTGCCTGCAACTCGGACTTCGTGTACGTGCTATTAAATGTTATGGGTCTCGACTGATATGAATTATGTGAATTTTACACTATTCGAAAAGGTCGCAGCCAACTGTCCTGCTGTCCCAGCCAATAATCCCCAAATAAAATTGGTCATTTGTTTCATGGCTGTTTGTGGGACATTGCAATGCACAATTGTGCTGCCATGTTTGCCTAGAAATACACAATCACTTCATTTCACAGTAATTCTTGTGAAGTGCTTTGAGATGTCCTTCCGAAAGGGATAAGGAGCTGTACCAAATGTAAGGATTATTATCATTATAATACTTACTCTTCTTCTCAATCTATAATAAATATTGATCTTTGCATTTGATTTAAGCACCTCATCTTGTCTAGACAATGTCTCAAAGCACTTCACAGAATATTCTTTAATGACTGAGTATTTTGTGGGTGAAACGCACAGCCAGCACAGCATTGTCCCACAAATAGCCATGGAGTGAGTGACCAGTTTTATTTGGGGGATCTGTTCAACAGGACACTGGGAAAAACTCCCTTCTCTTTTTGAATAGTACCATGGGATCTTTAATGTCCACCAAAACAGGCTGTGTCAGCTTAGATTATGTGATTCCAAGTCCCTAAGTGAACCATCACAACCTTCTGACTCCGAGGCAAGAGTGTTACCACTGAGCCAGGCTGACATTATGATAGTGTCATATAAAATCTAACGTCTTATTAGGACCGTTGTGGTCCATTTAGCTGAAAAACTATCATACTGGCTCAGTTGGTAACACTCCCATAACCTTCTAACTCAGCCTCTCTGAGTCACAAGGTTATGGGTTCATACCCATTTTAGAACAGAACCTGCAGATGCCTGAAATCTAAAACTGGAAGCCAATCTCCATTTTTCTGCACCATCAGCTCTAATTACTGATTTTGTAAGAGGGTAATGAAATTGAATGAAGCAAGTGTACAGGTGCCTTATAGCATGTCGAATTACAGCAGGCCAACCATTACTAAGCATCTTGTTAGGGTCTCTTGTGGACTGCTGGTGACTAAAAATCAGTACCCTGGCGCAGACCAACTAACTTCCCATGTCCAACTGCAACTTATTATCACAAAATGAATAAATATCAAATGACAGCTAATTTACCTATTCAGAGACATGTTTGGACGGGTGAGATGTTTGATTGAAACTTTTTTAAACTCACTGAAACACTTTGCTTTACCTTTTTAAGTGGAGTTTACACCCTTAGGAAACTTGTGCTGTATATATATTACACTGATGGCATTATGGGCTATGACCCTTCCAACTATGTAAATCACATCAATCTTTTATATGATTAGCATGTAATTTGACTTGTCACTGCTCCAGATATATAAAATATATTTTACAAGCATAACAAAGATGTGTGTTTTTGTACTAAGACCAAAATACTTAGATTTCTAAAAGCTTTTCAATAGAACATTCACAGCTGTATTTCCATCTATATCTTGATTATTTTATTGTCGAAAGGTTTGTGAATTCAAGCCCCAAGTTGGACTGAAGCTCATACAACACACCCCAGCCCTCCTGATGGGGTGTGTTTTAATTATTTAAAAGGCCATCAAATGAACTCTGTACAAGTGAATTTCATGTTCAAAATTTAACATATTTTGAAAGAACTCTAAACTGGCGTCCTTCCAGTACAACATGTTCTTTTGTAAAGTTCTTTTGGGGCATCTAAATGATTTACTGATTTGTCTGTGAGCCAACCTGTAGATATTTGGGTCATTCAAATCCTGTTATGCATTGCACTTGTTGCAATGTGATGATAAGAATATTATTTTAATCTTCAACTCATATCAGTAAAGCAGTTGATTTTGGATGAACAGCAGAA